AGTCAGAATTCGGAGAAAAAAAGTCAGAATTCGGAGAAAAAAAGTCAGAATTCGGAGAAAAAAAGTCAGAATTCGGAGAAAAAAAGTCAGAATTCGGAGAAAAAAGTCAGAATTCGGAGAAAAAAGTCAGAATTCGGAGAAAAAAAGTCAGAATTCGGAGAAAAAAAGTCAGAATTCGGAGAAAAAAAGTCAGAATCCGGAGAAAAAAGTCAGAAAGATTAAATTTAAAAATCAGTTAACTTTTTTTTTTTTTCAGTGGCCCTAATCCTTTTCCGTAGATTTAGGAAAAAGACCATGAAGGTTAACTATATTTTTAATCAATTTCACAAAGAATTGTTTTTTATTTTTGTCATATTTTGTTTTTGATTTGATTTCTCTGCTGTTTTTTTTTTTTGTTTGTTTTTTTATGTCCTCCAACTGAAGGACATTTGGAAATATTGTGATAAAACTTCCTGAAAATCACTGAGGACTGTGGACAACGACTAAAAGGTTTAAAAAAGAAAAACTATTAAGTTCTCTTAACTACTCCAGTAACCGAAGAGTTACGGATTTTTTCTGTTTACGTTTCTGTCGTATTTTTTCTCGATCAAAAGTTCTTAATAAATCTGTTTATTTTCTCTGCTGTTTTTTAGTTCTATATTATACTATAATGTCTCCTTTTCCTCTCTCATCTTTTTATTTTCTTGTATTTTATTGTTGAACCGTCTGTGATCTAATGATCCTTTCCTCACTGCTGTTTGTTTCAGAAATCCTAATTTATTCAACTCTGCTTTTTTTATTCTACAGCAGAATTTAACAAATATTTCTGCCTGTAAATATATAAAAATACTTCACTCTATAGTTAGACTTATAAAGTGAAGGAATAATATGAATGTTATTAATACATTTTAAATCAACTTTAATATTTCATTCATTCATATTAATGGATTTTTTTTATTGCCCGTTTCATAATTTATTAATCATAATTTTATGGAGACGCGTGGAGTGGCGCGCTGCTTGAACGCAAACAGTTGGGTCGCGCAGACCAGGGTGACCCTGGGTCCTTCACTGATGATGAGTTCAAGCTGCAACACCTAGAAGTTTTCTAAATCTGGGTTGATAATTAATAAACTATGATTTTAATCATTTAATAGAATATAAATGTTACATCTATTACGTGTAATCTAAAGTATTTTGGCCTTTATATCGATCTAGGATCACATAATGATTCTGAAAACTACCTTGTGACCTCCTTCGGGGTGCCGGCCCCTATTTTGGGAACCCCAGTTCTATAATTTCTCTTTAATTTCCCTCAAATGGTTTTTTATATCTGATTCACTGAATGTTTGCTAATGTTTTGCCTTTTTTATTTATCTATAATAAGGAAAACCCCATGTGACATTATGGCTTTTCTATTCTTTAAAAGGGGTAGAAAGATATAAGTAAATCTAAAAAACATATGTATAAAAAATATATCTGCAAAACCTCTTAACTTCAACAACAAAAATAGTTAAGCAAAAAATTTTAAATCCTATCAGATTTATAGTCCCCACCCTGCAGATATATTAGAATTTGTCCTTAAATTACAGCCAAACCCAAAACCTTTAGATAAACCAAACATTACCGCCACATATCTGACTCTATAACCATTAAAACAACTATTTTCATTCATTTCAGACGGAACTATTAAATGACTTGATTATATTAAAGGGTAACGGTGTTTTTTTTTACATTGGGCCCTTTATTTTCCGTTATTCCATCCATATGAGTTTAGTGTCATTTGGAGCCGTTCTGAAGATATTCCGTTAGGTTATATCCAGTAACGTCTTCCTATGGGCAACGACTTGAAGGCACAAACTAAACTGTTCATCATTTACACACGCCGCTTTGTTTAAAAAACATATAAATATAAAAAATCTAATGTCTGGGGGACAGTGATTAGCCTACATGTTCTGAATGCTGGCGTACCATAAAGAATAAATGACGAACAGTTTAGTTTAAAAAAACGGTGTTCCCCTTTAAACTGCATTTCCAATATTCACCACTGTTCGGCGCCATTTCCCTTTTTCCTCTGATCACTGAGCAGCCGGCTTAGTCTCTCAATGAATCCTGGGATACCCAAGGATAGAGAGGACACAGCGGAACCTTTCTTCTAATCAGGCAAAAAGAAGGACGCATTTGTGGGCCACATTACGAGGAGTCTTGGAATCGGACCAGACCTCGGCGCCGCGCTGTGACGTAATCGGCCGACGAATCTGGCCTTCGGAGGAAGCAGCCGAAGAGTTTTGTCTCCTTGAACCCCAGTGGGCCTCAGCAGATGGCCGCTCACACTGAGCCTGGTTCTGCTGGAGGTTTCTTCCTGTTCAAATGGAGTTTTTCCTCTCCACTGTCGCTACAAGCATGCTTAGTGTGAGGGATTGCTGAAGAGTCAATGAGTCGATGCAATCAGCTGGTTTTCCTTAAAGAAACTGAATCAATGACTGGATGATCTGGTGAACTGGAAAGTGCCTTGAGATGATGTGAATTGGAGCTATAGAAATAAACTGAATAGAATTTAATTGGTGGGAAAGGACAGTAATATATTTTTTCCAAGGTATTTTTATTATATGTATTAATTAAAGTAGCCAATAGTGATACAGTGATATGTAATAGAATAAGCCTTTGAAACCTCCAAATTAAACCTCTTTTCCTTCAGTATATGCTCTGTTTCCAATAAAATATGCTTTATGTCCAGCATTGTTACTGACTTCCGGGAATCACGCCTTAATTTTCATTAATTTATCATCTGTCTGCTACGGAAAAAACTACAAAGCGACCTTCAGGCCCAGATAGGTGCGCTGTCTCTTTAAAAAATCCAAACCCCGCCCTGCCGGGTTGTGAAATTACAAAGTCCCGCCCTGGTCGGCCATATTTTTTCCATCCGTCTGCATCAACGGCCAATCATGACCCAATGAAGGCGGGATCAGAGTAGAATGACAGTGACGTCCTCCAATGAGAGCGCGGCATTGTACGTTCAACGTATATAAGACATTCCTGCCGTTTTTTTCTTTCTTTGGAATAATGTCGGCTGACTATGAAAACAGGTCGGTGAAACAGTCAATAATTCATATCAAAACGGCTTATTTTGGAGGGTTAAAGAAGCTTAAATCCAGTTAGGGAGATGTTTATGTTCCTACGGAAGGTTTTGTTTGGCAGCGCGGATCGATTAGCCGCTTAGGCCCAAACCTCGCCTCGCTGTCGTTAAATTAACAGATGAGCGAAAAACACCGAGAGGAAAACTTAAACTTTCCGAGTTAAAGTTTTTATCTGAGATTTATCGGTCGGTATTTCTGGTGTGACGCCGGTTTCTGTGTTCGGTTTTGGTCGGTTGGGTTTAACTGCTACCGGCGCCGTGAGCAGCACGTGAGTCCAACCGCTGGCTCCGATAAAAAAAAAAAGGCCCCAGAGGTCCCGCTGGGCCGGGGAGCCTCCAGAACCGCCGCTTCTGAAGTCCGCATCATGTCGTGACCCACTCGGGGTTCGGATCCGTGTTCTGGTCCACATGGCGCACCCCCCCTCCCTGAGCGGCGGGGAACAATGCCGGCAGCAGCGGCCTCGTGGTCCGCTGACTTCCCGTCCCGTTTCTCCTTTGTAGCGTTATTTCCCCGGCTGGTTCCGGTCCGGTTCGGTTCTGGTAAACCGCCGGTGGTTCTGCCTTTCAGGGCCGCTTTTGTTTAGTGACGCTGAGTCCATCAGAACGGAGCTAATGTTCAGCTAGCAGGCCCGCCCGCTGTTAGCTTAGCTTCTTTTTTTTACGACATTTTCCCCTTTTTTTCTGTCGGTGTGTTAAAAGCTTATTAACGTCCCGCTTTTAATGCGCGGCTCTGCCGGTGTTTATCGGGACATTTTGTCCCGGTACCGTATGTCCCGGTACCGTCCCCCCCTTCATCTCGGCCCGACAGGAAAGCGACCATCTTGAATCGATCAGGCAGTAAAGATGGCGGCTCCTCCAGGCGGCCTCCGCTTCCAGGACGCGGCCTGTAGGAAGACACGCTCTGGTTTCATCACCGGTTCTCTGATAGTCGCGAAATATTAAATAGTTTTTATTTTTATCGTGTTAAAGTCTGTTTGATCGGGTTTTTAATTCTGTTTGTGTTTATTTTCAGGGATAATGGCCCGGAGGGCATGGAGCCCGATGGCATCATTGAGGTGAGTCTTCATTCTCCACATCTAAAATATAAAAATCTGATGACTTTGGGCCAGAAATCATTTTTCCTCCATGTTTTGTTTTGTATTTCCTGGATGTAAGACTAGTTAGAGGTGATGGATGGTCAGATATCAGGCTGTGAGTGATTAAATGTTTCCATATTTTCCTCTCCAGAGCAACTGGAACCAGATCGTGGACAGTTTCGATGAGATGAACTTGCGCGAAACTCTGCTCAGGGGAATTTATGCCTATGGTTTCGAGAAGCCATCTGCTATTCAGCAAAGGGCTATTATGCCTTGTATCAAGGGTGAGTGTCCCGCCTCGGGATGAACGTGAATAATCTGAGTTAGCGTCGCTGACCGTAACGTCTCCGTTCTGCTGTAGGTTATGACGTGATCGCCCAGGCCCAGTCTGGCACTGGGAAGACCGCCACGTTTGCCATTTCCATCCTCCAGCAGATTGATGTGGAGATGAAGGCCACCCAGGCTCTGGTTCTGGCTCCTACCAGGGAGCTGGCACAGCAGGTAGGTCCACCTGGATCCTAACTTCCTGCACAGGATCCCATTTAGCTGGATGTTGGTTTGCTCTAGATCTGGGCAGTTAATAAACACAAACTAGCAACTAGATGATCCCAACCAGGCACTCCACCCCAACTCCAGACTCTTAAAGTGAAACTAATGATAAAAATTGGACAATAATTGGGGGGAGGAAGGAAAAAAGCTGCCAGTTATGCTGCAGATGGGAATTCAGTCTCCCAGACCTTGAAATATCTTTACTTTCCAGGGTAATACTAAGATGTTCCATCACCTCCGAGATCTGTCTCCTGGCCAACAATGAGGGGGAAATGCCATTGCTTTCCTTTAAGCGGTTGTTCATTTAGTTTCTCCTGGTGCCGCGCTAAAAATGCTTTAGCTAAAATAGATTTAGCCAGAAATGGACATTAAATTTCTACCTGTGGTGGCGGCAGTGGGATTAAAGTGGGCCTGCTGTCGCTGAGTAAAGCTAGCACGTAGATCCATGCTTTATAGAAGTGGTAAAAACGTTTTTGTGCAAATGTTACAATAAAGTCCTGCAGCGCTGGATTCTGATGAAGCTGCCTTTCAAGGTCATGAAAAGACTGGAAGAAAACGGCAAAATGACAATATTGGATGAAATTAATTGCTTTTAGCGTTTTGACAATCATTCAGTCCTAATTTGCTCTCTGATGGTCTCAGTTCTTCCCTCTATGTTGACGATTATGGACACAATTCTGGTCCATTATTTAAATGAAAGCCTTAATTGGCATGAAAATGAAATTTGATTACTGTGGCATTTGAAAATGACTTAAATGCGTTTATGTAAATTATTTCGTCAGATATATCGAAATATGTTCGACGGAAATGCTTCCGGTCGATCGTATGTTCATAAAAGAAGCTGGAGGCGGAGACGAAGCTAGAGGATGAACAAATTTGGTCCAAGGCTGCTGTCTGTCTGCGGCAGAGATGACCAAGGGTTTTGTCGTGTTTATATGGGAGCCATGGGTGCTCGGCGATGGCATTAAAATTATTTCTGAGAGTGTTAAATTAGTTACTGATTCCTGTTGAGTAGGGAGGAGCTGTGGTTGTTCAGAGAAACTCGCTGGTTGTTTCTCGTGTGGCTGAACGTTGGTGCAGAAGTGAGGCTGGATTTTGCTCTTCTTTGTCCAGATCCAGAAGGTGGTTCTGGCTCTGGGCGACTACATGGGAGCCAGCTGCTACGCCTGCATCGGAGGAACCAACATCCGCAGCGAGGTCCAGAAGCTGCAGGCTGAAGCCCCTCACATCGTGGTGGGAACCCCCGGCCGCGTCTTTGACATGCTGACTCGCAAAAACCTCTGTGAGTAACGGACTCCTTACTGCTGGTCTAGAAAGGTTTGTTTCCACGTCAGGAGCTGCTGTATAATGATGAAATCCATGCGTGTCAACTGACTCCGTCAACCTCTGACGCCGAGCTGCTCTGGTTGGCGTTCTGCTAGCCGGCGCTGTCCCTGCGTCAGAAGAACGGAGACGTGATCAGACTCCCATGTTTCTGATTACAGCCGTTATCTGAACGCTACTTTCCTCTGGGAGGAACCAGAACCACCTGTTTACAAGTTAGAGATGGATCAAATCTGATTTAATGGTGGACTTAAGCATAATTTAATCATTTTATGGAAAGTTCCTCTAACTACAGGACATTTTTTAGATGGGTTTATGTATCTGTAGCTGGTTTCCTGGGTTTAAATCCTCATTCAGGTCATCTGGTTTATTTTTTTCAGCTTCCAAAAGCATTAAAATGTTTGTGCTGGACGAGGCCGACGAGATGCTGAGCCGAGGATTCAAGGACCAAATCTACGAGATCTTCCAGAAGCTGTCGAGCAACATCCAGGTGAGCTTCTGTTCTTTAGAGGCTTCCTGAAAACTGATCCGGTCCGCATCGCTAAAGAAACGTGTGCCTGCAGGTCGTCCTTCTGTCCGCCACCATGCCGGCCGACGTCTTGGAGGTCACAAAGAAGTTCATGCGAGAACCGATTCGAATCCTGGTAAAGAAGGAGGAGCTGACCCTGGAGGGTATCCGCCAGTTCTACATCAACGTGGAGAAAGAGGCAAGTTGTCGAGGGTTGTCCTCGTCCAGCGGGAGCTCCGCCCAGACTAAACCTGCCGCTTTGTTTCCAGGAGTGGAAGCTGGACACGCTGTGCGACTTGTACGAGACCCTGACCATCACACAAGCTGTGATCTTCATCAACACCAGGAGGAAAGTGGACTGGCTCACCGAGAAGATGCACGCCAGAGACTTCACCGTTTCCGCTCTGGTAAAGGCCGCCGTGTTCTGAGAGCCGCCCGTCCCAGCGGCGGGAGCGAACCTCCAGGTGCCTGACTCTGACTTGTTCTTCCAGCACGGAGACATGGACCAGAAAGAGAGAGACTTGATCATGAGGGAGTTCCGCTCCGGTTCCAGCAGAGTGCTCATTACCACCGACCTGCTGGTACGTTCAGCCGGACGCCATGTTTGGTTCGCTCCAAGGTTCCCTCTCCTTCCACCTGCAGTGGTGGTTTAGGACTGAAAGTTCCTTGGTATAGAAACATGCCTGCTCTCCACTGTGGCCTAGTCAAAGTCTTTGTTTCACAACTAAACAGCAGGCGACAGCCCCTCTGATCGCTGAATGACGCAGCGATTTAACTCGTTGTTTTTCCTCCGTCAGGCGAGAGGCATCGACGTCCAGCAGGTGTCCCTGGTCATCAACTACGACCTGCCCACCAACAGAGAAAACTACATTCACAGGTAAATGATCAAAAATGTGCTTCAGGAACACCTGGATGATGTCATCCAATGGGTTTAAATTACATTTTAGGAATATTTTTCTTTTTATCTTAAATTTCACAACTTTTCTCCTCACTTCTGGAGGTCATTCCTCCTGAGTCAGGAGAAAAGATGCATTTTTATTGGTCTGCTGGAGGTTAGTGATGACGTCTGATTGGCTGAATGTGAGCTGGAAGATGAAAAATATTACAGCTGAAACGATCATATTGATTAGTGAAATTAACTAATTTGGTAATCTGTTAATCTTTAACTGGAGTATAGAGACTCTAAAACCTGCCTTTAGCTGACAGTGACCCTTTGAAGCAGGAGTATAGTATATATATATATATATAGTACAAATGTAAAAAAATAAAATAAAATTGTTCTATACCGAAACTTCTACTGGAGAAGTTTTAGGCCTAAAAAGCTTTAAATAAAACATCTAAATATCTTCGTTAAGAGGGAAAAATGAGGGAAGTGGTAAAAGTTAATTAGATCTAAGAATATTGAAAAGTTACCGTAATTTCTCTACTATAAGCGGCCGCTTTTTCCCCCCAGGGTTTATAAGAGGCTAGTTTTATTCCCATATTTGGGCGTTTACTTGAACAAATGAAGAGACTAACCTCCTGCAGAGCTGAAATAAATAGAAGCTCTACCTGCTGCGTTCTTTGCCGACAGTAACGGCTAACGGTTTCCTCTTTCCGTTCAGGATCGGACGCGGCGGTCGCTTCGGCAGAAAAGGAGTAGCCATCAACATGGTGACGGAGGACGACAAGCGAACCCTGAGGGACATCGAGACATTCTACAACACCACCGTGGAAGAGATGCCGATGAACGTGGCTGACCTCATCTAACTTCTACATGCCCTAACATCCACCCCAACCTGCTTATTTTAGAAGTGAAGTCCTGTTTTTTTCTTTTGTTTTTTTTGCTATGTGATCGGGGGAAAGAAATTTTAAACTTCAGCGAATTTCACTGACTATGCTCTGTATCCAAATATTGAAAGTGTTTTTTGCCTAAGTGGAAGGATAGCTTGCTGAACTGTCATCTGTTCACCGTAGTTGTCGTAGACCTTCATGCATCTCCTTCGGTTCAGAACTGCCTGCATCTGTAAAACATTGATAAAAGCAATCTTTATTTCAATGGTGTTTGCTCTGAAATCTGTTACTTGAACTGAAGCGATCAGGAGTGCGACTACCAGCGCGCTGCGGGGGTTGTTAGGGAATGAAGTTGTTTTTGGGGGGGCAGTATTTATCCAGCCTTAAGTGTAAATATGCAGCGTTTAGGACGGCGGTCATAGCAGTGGAATAATGCGGGCTGCGTTCAGGAACGCTTTATCTGGAGACGGAAGGGTTTAGTAGTGAAAGGCTGGCCTCGGATCCGTGCTTTCTGATTCACTTTTTTTTTTTTTCCTCCCATCTCGGGGTGGGTGGGGTGTTAAAAGGCATGAAAGGACCAAATGACAGAAAATTGGAGAAAAAAGGCCATCTGTGTCACAAGCATTCTCAATAAGCTTCATTTAAAAAGTGCTGGCCATGTTTTTCCTTTATTACCCCCCCTCCCTCCATCGCTTCAAATTTCATTACGGGATGTTAACCTTTTTGAGACGGTGTATCGAGTTTTCTACATTGGATTCTGTAAAGTATTTATTTTAATGGTCTTTAAAAAAAATAAAGGTTTCTCCTTTTTAACACAAACTGGTTTCTGCATTTCAGATTTGAACGAATGTTTTAATCCAAATTCTTCCATTAATGCATCGTCGGCAATTTCATGGAGGAAAATAACCTTTTGTAAAACAAAAGGTTGATAGCAGCCATTTTTCTTCCCATTTAGTAGGATCTAATATTTATGGCTGGGTTCTGATGAGGAAACGGCGCCACCATCTGATGACTAATGAAGTAGAAAGTTTTATGGCCAGGATATTTTTATTTTAATACGAGAATAAAGTAATGTTAAGAAAATAAATGAGAATGCAGTACTTCCTGAGGAGGGCCCACATGACCCCCACCACTGATCTCTATTCCCTGGATTGCTGATTGGCCGAAAAAAGTGAAGCCACCGTCTGCCATATTGGTACTCCCCGCTCCAAAGACATGCAGTAAAATGCCTCCCTGCAGCATCTGGCTGCTAAAACCAGCAGTTTTCTGTCTGCAGGAAGACGTTCCAGGTAATTTCCCAGTCAGTGGATGAACTAAGCAATAAATCCATCTATAGCTGATGGATCCTATAGTTTAGTCTGTAGACTAACATTTGTCTGGCTGGAAGACATTGACTGAGTTAGCCACTGACATTGGGTCTAACATTAGAAAATAGGAAATAGAAATTCACTGTGAAATGTCTATAATTAAGTGGTTGTTCCTGTAAAGTTTGGTTTATTTCTCATTTGAAAAAATCATGAGCTGAAATACACTCACCGGCCACTTTATTAGGTACCCCATGCTAGTAACTGGTTGGACCCCCTTTTGCCTTCAGAACTGCCTCAATTCTT